TGCCACGGTAGTTGCCAACGTCCTGTTTGTTGCCTTTTTTTATGTACTGGAAACATGTGCGCTAGCTTCCAACAGGATGGGAAAACTCCGACGTCCCCAGACCGACAGAAGCATTGATTATATTATTGTTACCAATTATGATGCGGATATTCTCGACATTTTAATACATCTTCCGAGCTTTGTAAAGCTTCATTATGCTTTGCAAAGCTCAGAAGAAGTGGCACCGGTGGTGTAGTGGTAAGCGTGATTACCTCTCACCCCAGCACGCCTGGGTTCAATCCATTAAATGCCATTGGTCAAATTTTGTCGAGTAGACGTGATTTTATATGTCTAGATTGTCAATCCTACAGTAATTTTTGAATAAACAAGTTTTGCAGTGTGCATTCTTAAAATACCTATACCTATCGGTGTACGGTGTATCTATCAATATTGCGATAACATTGCTTCAGGCGTAGTGATTGAATGAGATCGATTTCTTTGAACGACTAAAGTTTAAGACTCTGATAGCTGATTGATGAAAATTGAGTATGGGCCAGTATAGGCTATTGAAAAAATGCTTTGATACAGTATGTTTTTGATTAACTTTTAGTATCACTCTAGCAAGACAACACATTATTGTGGTAAGACCACCTTCTACCATCTCTCCTCAAGAAAGGCACAATCGTCTAGGCTGGGCTATCTTCTACTTTATTTTCTTTATTGGCTTGTAGCCAATAAACAAATTGTGGTTGACGTTGACTGTTTTCCATACACGCAAAGTTCAAAAGTCGTGCGTGAAGTGGTGAAAGCGAAAAATATTGAAAAGCGCCATTCCTGTAGTGGTAGGGCACACTAATAATTCAATGCAAATGAAATAAGGGACCGTGCTTAAATTATGTAACATTATACCCTCCCCTATGGAAGCTGGTGTAAGAAAATATATGCTACAAGGGAGAGGTGGTTCTGAAAGGTATCACAAATATAGTACGTTATTTACATATGCCACCTAAAGAGGAAGTATTGATTGAACTTCATCACACAATATGCTTGACTGAGGGTTTGTGCTGTATGGAACAATCATAGTCAATACCGACATTCTTTTTCTTCGGCTTGTTACTAGACATCCTGAACGTCTGCCCTCAACTTGTTGTTCTTTGAGAAGACTATAGGATTTTTTAGCATCCGTAAATGCACAGGAAAATCACAAAATTGTTCAACCTCGATCGGATCGGGAATCAATAAATAAAAATGGATATTTTCTTCAAACCAATCTTCAGAGAGAAATATATATCTAGCATTCAGAATCATAAAGGCCTAACTGCGATGATCGATTCTCTTCATCGATTTTCTCTTTTGTTAATAACTCGGCTTTTACTACACTGTATTGGAAAAAAATCGGAAATTTGCTTAACTTAACTTTAGTAACGTGAAGAGAAAATCGATGAAGAAAATCGATCGCCGCAGTTAGGCCCTTATGATTCTTAACGAAAGATATGCTACAGTATTGAACTAACGTTTCACCTGTAGGTCCGTTTACTCAATACAATAAAAGTTTGGCCATTGCAAATTAGGTCGTGAACTTTCCTAGAAGTCAAAACTGGCATTAAATATGGCACAATGTAACAAAAGACTAGGGATTTCCGCTACACATCACTTCTGTGCTTGTTGTCCAGTCTAGTTTGCGGTTGCTTCTGTTGCCATCGGTTTCTATAACGCTAGAATGGCTCATTCAATTTGAGCTTTCTTAGGGAAATGCTTCCCCTATGCAAATTTCGTTCTAGAATGGGAAACAACCCGTACGTTTTCCACCAATAATTTATTACCGCAGCGGAAAAACAAACAGTCTTAATGCACTCCTGTAGACTGCTATTAGTTGTTATACTAATATCGTCAGGTCATTTGAGACATTCTTCCTAAATTACGTCCACTGAATCATAATTGTTCTCTAAGTTCAAAAAACTTGAATGTCCTCCTTTTCCAAAATATTTTCCTTTCTTTTTGCGATTGCTAATAAATGCTCTAGGTGGTGTGTTGTCGGTCTTTTTCTAGTGTGTTCATTCATTTCTTTTCATCATACGTAGGTACATAGGCCTAATTTACGCTTTTGGTCGTAATTAGCCTTTGTCACATAACGATTTATATAGCGTTACTGTTCCCCGTGTTTCACTCCTTGATGTGACCTTCATCCCGTCGATTTCATTGACTACTTTTTGGATATTCAATCAGCTTGAAGCAATAGTTTATAAAAATTTTAGGATGGGGTTATGGGGCTGAACTAATGAAACGGGCTAAATAAAAGAGAAAAAAAAACTCGATGAGTTTTCCACAAAGAGTGGATTATGCTTTTGTAAGGAGAGCCTATATTCCAAACAAGGGGTACACATTAGGGTGGGTCAACTTTGTACCCTCATCATTACTGCTCATTTGATTTTTATTGAGGTCTCGAACAATTTGAACGAATTTGGTTGCGATTTGAATTTGCTAGACAATTTTAAGATGATATGGAAAAATGTACCGTTAAGTGCCGCTCATTTCACTATTTTTTTTAAAGTGAACTGTGATATTTTAAAATTTATATTTTTCCATACTACATATTCAGTTCAATTTCAAATATCCACGATACACATTATTTTGGGATTGTTTAAAACTTCGTGAAATTATTAACTTACGTGCGTGAAATTATGGCACATTACGGTATAGGAAACGGAAATAAATATTAATTTGCACGTCAAAATGTCACCAATTGCTCAATATCTAAGGCGCATACCTGGGAAGTTAATGTTCTATGATTTTGGTCAATTTCAAAGTGTCCATTTAAGAAAAGTTAGAATGTTTGATAAGCTTTCAAATAATGAAAATTGACTAAAATTTGTATTTTTTTTTTTCAATGTGTATTTAGTATGAAAAGGCAAACCTCAATGTTGTTCCAATCATCATATTGATTAAAAGAGCCGTTTTCGTGGTATGACTGATGAAAATATCGAATACGCCATTTTGATAAAACAGGTGAAACAAACTTGGTTCATTGCTCCAGGTGAACAATTATGCGAAGTTTCATAGAATTCGGAGAGCGTAAAATAAAATCGATTCGCCAGTTGGCGTGGAACTGCTCATTTAATTTTGGTCCAGTTTTCCACGTATATGACAACTAGCGTTTGGGGTGCCCCGCTAAATGCTGAATAATAATAACTTTTTACACAGAAACCGAAGCGATTTGTGGTTTTCGATAAAGTTGTTCTACATAGTTTGTTCAATCTAACTCTCAGGTATGGACATCATTATTCAAAAGCTCGCATCGTAACGGTATTTTATAGCATTTGCACAGTTAATCCGAGGGGGCTATTTCCTACTACTGAAACTGCTGAACTAATTAAATATTGTATAAGATTAAATGTATTTTTTATTCTAAAATTACTATTTCAAGGTAAACTTGATAATATTAGGATGTCAGAAGGCAGCATCGAGCCAAAAGGGAAAATGTAATTCATTATGTAATTTTCAGCTATTTTCTACAAAGTGTAACAAAAAAGCCAGTTCTCTTCAGGATACCGAGTGCCTAGGACCGCATTGGTCACATCCACTCATGTTCTGGAAACCCCGAGGAAGAGATCAGTTTCTGACTAGGGCCAAAACACAACATGCATGCGACACAACATGCATGCGACACAACAAATAAAATAGTATTTCAAAAAATTGATCCTGATCGAAATAGAACATATCGAGTATCCTAAATTACCTTGAGCATATGTGGATCAACCCCCGAGAGAGTGGCCGGTTTAAAAAAATATCCAAACCCATAATGAGATACATAACATTATATTAAAAGTTTAAAACAAGCTCATAACTGGTTACATTAAGAACGCAGAACCACATTGGCCAACCCCTGGACATGTTCCGGATACCACCAGGGAAGTTCCTCAAAGTTTGATGAAGCAAGAAGAGTCAGATCTCACCATATAGGTGGATAAATTCAGGATTTCATGAGAAAATCACACAGCAAAACATAAACACGTCAACTGAGCAGCGCTGCCTATAGTCGCTATATTCATAGTCTGGCTGATAGAATCTCGGGAACCAATTGAGCTGTCAAATAGCAGAACCAATCGAGCAAATCACGACCAACAACAGAAAAGAGCACATCAGTAATTGCGAACAAAACTTCGTAACCCTTTTTCTCATGACTCAAAACTCGCCTACGCAAATTAATACCATCTTTGGGTTGGGGAAACTTTCCCCTATCCGATGATGCTAGTAATTTGCGTTCAATTAGTGAGGATAGAATAATCAACGTTTTGTTTATAAAAGTTGATAGTACCTTTTCAATTGTTGGTCTACAATATATTGAATTTGTTCCTCTTTTTGATGAATCGAAATTCTATCCGCCAGACTATGAATATAGCGACTATAGCGCTGCCTACTTCATAAATATTTTGATATAACATAGGGAGGTTCTAACATGAAATTAAAAAAAAAATACTGGTTATGTTAAAATATTGCGAGCAATACGAAATGGGTAGCATGCAGTACATCATTAGAAATTGAGGAAAAACCAACCGACACGTTTTTTGTCCATACCATGTGCATTGCTTGTCATACAATTTATATAACCCTCCTCTCCCATTAGAGTGTGAGGTATTTAATGGATCAACCCTTGTTTGCAATCTTTTGATCCTTTGCAATCAGATCCGTTTCGAAGATGATCATTGCTTTGTAATTTTACATTAATTTTTAGAATCTTAAGGACACAATTGGCGGTGTCATTCTAATTCGCGTTTTCAGGGGTAATAATCTCATCCCGAAAATTCAGTTTTCAAATATCTTCCTAATACCATGGTTCTAGCTTTCAATGTATCTACAAAAAAAATCACTCATCACACATTTAGTGCATGTCTGTCGTTCGGGCAACGAAATATAGTATCAATCAATAGTAAACAATTGGATGTTTCCGGCATGAAATGGAACATGAATAAAATGTCAAATAAAAAGCTATGGCAAACCCTTTGCATGCGTGAGTCCCTCACCTTCTAGGTAGTAATGGCAAATGGTTACCAAACAACCACAGTCGTTTTTCTCCAAACCATTTGTCCATACAGCCTGCCACTATGGTTTTGGCTTCGATCGATGGTTGATTTTTCAATTTATCTGATTTTCCAGCTGATGGTGAACAGTTTTGTGGAGGATTTAATCTTTTCACGTTTAACATGTAGATGCTTGCTATAGACCCACACTGTATTCCTAAATTTTACAACTGTTTAGTGAGGTGACACGGCGAAACACTTTCACTCATTGTATATGCAGCCTTTTCAAACTTAATTTTCTATTTCTGGTATCAATATATCCTTTTGATTTGCACATTCTATCGTGAATCGCACTAAATTAGGCCTTTCATCGTAAATTGTTACTGATTGAAAATCGATAATCGAGCACGTAAACACCATGGAACTTGAAACGCGTAACCGTAGTAGGACACTATCGAAGGGCTTAAATTGCACTATTCTTAGCTGGGCGATATTCACAAACTTCACTGAAGAGGTACACAGGATAAGATTTTACCGTGCGGATTTGAGATGATCATTAGCTAAAGCTATAACGTCAAGTTTTGCTGGTATATTCAAACTTGTGTGCTAATCGACGTTGTTGTAGCGAACGACTAAACATGTAAAATGTGGTGGGAAATGTATCGTTTGGTTGGACACCGCAACACGGTAACTCTAGTAACCAACAAACAAAACAAATGCTTTACCAGTCTAGCCCCAAGGAACTACACTGTACCTGCTCCGTGCTCCATCTAGATAATGCAGCCGAAGTCTAGATATCGAACGAAAGATTATTATTTTGCTAAAGGAAAGGCGGCAGGAATAGTTGTATTTCTTCTTACTTTATTTTGTTTCGATCAGTTACGGGTTGAAACCTAGAACCTTACGATTCAATCCTCTCCGCTTCACCTTTCTCATTCATCGTCTACGTTTTTTTTTTCTACCTAAATTTATTCGTTTTTCATGTAGGTTCATGCTGCATTGATAGTGTGAAGCACTTTGCAAGTTTTGGAAATAGAGATAACTCAGACAACTCACAGCAAATATAGATAAATAAGTTTGTAATATATATGGCCAATTCCATCTCAAGTGACCGACCCATCGCATTGACCCTTTCCGAATTGAATCAAAATTGATGGGACTACCTACTTATTTAAGGTCAGTACTCAAAAATCCAAAGTTTTTTGCCAATCGGACTACCCTCCTGGGGTGATGTATATATTATGTCACGCTCTACGAGGGGAGCAGGGGTGTAAGATTTAGTGAAAAGCAATGCATAAGGTATGGGAAAAACGAGACAGAAGGGGGTAAATTTTCGTCAATTTAGCGTGGCATAATTAAGGTGATTCCCTGTAGCGTCCTTTTTTGTGTTACACTTCGCAATTGCACATGTAAAACTATTAAGGTTTCTGTGAATGCACGTAACTGAAACTACTACTTGTTGTTTGCTGCGGAGAAGCAAGCAATGTCTGAAATTTGCAGATGTATAAACCTCATAGATCTTGAGTTGTGTGCTCTTGAAATTGCGAGGTGTATTGGAAAAATGGACTCTACAAGGAAATACCTTAATGATTGGCACCATTTGATGATTTTTAATATACACAATTTTTTACATATCTTTAGAACCAATAAAGATACAAGGGACATTGGGTACGCGTTTTGATGGATGTTCAACGGACAATTAATTATTTTTTTTCTACAGTGTTGCCAACTTTTCGATTTTATTTTAAATTTGATAACTTTAAATGCAACTATCTTAAAATGACCCAATTTATTTAAATTTTAATGGCACCAGTATTCAGCGGATTTTTAGCATAAGAATCACTTGAATATAAAAAAAGAATATGATTCGTTTAGGAGATATGGGGCCTTACATTAATTATGTCACGCTAAATTGAGGAAAAAATAACCCTCCCTCCCCCTTTCGTTATGTTTTAACGATACCTAATGCAATGCTTGTCGCAGAATCTTACACTCCCCTTCTCTCTTTAGAGCGATGCCTAATTACTTCTGGATGAGAAATTATACATTTTGAGCCGTCGGACGGTACCAGTACACACGGTTTTGAAAGTGTCCTTATTGGGCACTATCGAAATCGGGACCAGGTGACTGAAATGGCCAAATCGGAGAGAACCAGGTCAGGGTGCCATTCTAGATACCGTCATCTTTCATTTGAGGCCAATATATCAAGAATTGGTTCAAAAATTGATGTTTGCGAGCAAGTTGCAGTTTGGGTCTTTTTTGACCCGCTAATGCACAATGTGTAACTTTTTCCTAATGAAAATGGAAGGTTAAGTGTTCAATATTTTCCAGCAGATAACATTATCTTTTTTTTTTACTGCTTTGTCATCAGAATGCTATAGATTTCAAGATGCAACCAAAAGTTATGAAATCTTTTGAGGCGGTCTAAATTTAGTATCCTATCCAGCTTTTTACGCATGCCATAATTTTAACTGAAAGCATTTCAAATGGCATATAATTTTCATCAAATAAACAACCTTTATGTTCAGTAATAAGTATGACCGACATGATTGTAGTACCGATGTACTCATTTAACACAGAACATAAATGGAACTAGATCAGAAAGGGGCTCCACTTTTCATTGGAGAACGCTAGCGCACCTAGCGGTAAAAGGCATCTTCTGCCTTCAGTCAAGGTAGGCAGCATGCTGAGTGCGAATAGAAAAGCCGTGTGCTAATTGTGATACTGGATTAAAGGAGTACAACGGTACTACAATCATGTCTAAAATTGTTTGTTGGGTATGGTTCATTTCTATGAGATGACAAAACATGAGGATAGATATGGAAAACAGTTCTATTGTTGCGGTACGTTAGAAGCGTTAGAAGCCTATTGTTGTGTGGTCTCCATAGACAACAATAAGCTCCTAACGCTTCTAACGTAAGGATTCAAAATGTGGCTCAGTAATTGGCGGATCAAAGCAAAGTCAAAACTGGTCATGCGACACCTAGTTTTAGATCCGCAATTACAATTACAATTACATTTGACTCCCGTTTGACAGTTCACATTAGATCTCAGAATACAAGCATATTGAGTGAGTCCGCAGTACCCTGGTTTTCTTAGTAATTTTTTATAGTTTGCGTATCTGTCGTTATCGTCACCGGATTTTAACGATAATATCAACACACAATCCAGGTGATTGTAGTGGCCGAAGTTGTTTGTAATGATATATGGGGCTTTGTGGTCTAATGTCGTCCAGACTACTCTATAATATAGATTTTTTTTCGTAAAAGAGATCGTAGCTAATTACTGCTCATAAACTCGATCGAAACGGACTCAAAAGCATAGTCATTTTTTTTTAAATAGCTTTATGTCACTCGATGGCCTAATGTCGTCCGTTTTTGCTTACTGAGCAGAAGATCGTGGGATACAACTCTGGCTTCTTTCTATTATAGATTAATGTTTTTTTTTTGAAGATGAGATCACAGAAAATCGCTGCTCGATACTTGTTTGCTAGAAAAGCAAAGTAGTTTATCGGAACGCATCAACTAGATTACCACTACAAAAAACAATAGTTCATATTTTCCACAGGCCAACATCCAGACTCGTGTCAGTAGGTGAGATAACCACTCTCTGAATGTTTCAGCTGTTTTTGACATAACACGGACTAGTGCTTTTGGTTTAATATTTGTATAGGAGATTTGGTTGAAATTTTCATGTACAAAATTCTCATATACATTAAAAAGCAAATGTCTCAATGAAACTAACCGGATTCATAATGCTGTCTTGAGTAAAGTTGTTACTCATTGAAGTTGAAAATCTGAATCAAATCGAGATTAAGGAAACTTTTTTTATGATCGACATAGTGTCATTTTTCGAGTGTCATTTTTTCTTGTATTTCATCCAAAATCCCCATACAAAATTCAAACTAAAAGCGCCAGCTCATCCTACAACCAAATGAGCTAAAACTTTCAGAGAATGGTTTTCTCACCTAAAGGCGCAAATCTAGAGGTTGGCCCCTTGGAAAATTAGAACTTTTATTTTTATGGGCTAGTCTAATACTTATTATACGTACCGAGTTTTTGAAAATCATGAATATTGATATATTACTTACTTAAATTCAGATTCTTGCAAGATCAGGTCATATCCTTGGGATTACCCGTTCCGGGACCATGACCATGTCCGGATGGATTAAATGGGTTGAAAAAGGTTTTTGTCGTTGATCCTGATCGAAAGAAACCATTTGTGATCATTTAAAAACCCTTTCGGAACTTTGTCCGGGTATTGTATGGACTCGTCCCACTGTGCACTGATCTTCGTATTATTCGTAAATGACCTATGCGATAGTCTGTGCTCCAAAAAGATATTAGTGGTATTCACAAAGCGCATCGTAAACGTATACACCCTCGTAAATGCGTAAAGTGTTCCATTACACTTCAATATACCCTGGTATCCTAGTATTCTTACGACAGTGAATATGTTTACGATGCGCATTGTGAATACCCCTATTATATGCAATTTTAAAATTTTGCATACTGCTACTCTCGCCATAGGAAAGAGTCAGGTTGATCAAGGATTTAGAAGTCAGTCTTGACAACAAGTTGTGTTTCCATAAGCAGTTTCATTTTAGAGCATTTTATTTTATTTTTCCGATTCTAAATTGTAACTGAGGGGACCACGGAAAGCCAAATATGGTCAAGCTTATCTGCCATAAAAAATCGTATTGCACGATGATTATTTACACGCGAAAATCAGGAAAATTATCAAGCAAAATGGTCCTAGTGGTCTGTTCTGAGAAAAGATCATAACAGCTACACAAATGTAAATTTTTTGTTGAAATATTTTGTGAAACTTTGAAAAACGATGTATTACTTACTGTGTTGCTACTCAGTACATTACTTACTGTTGCAGCACAGAAAATCTGAGTTGGAGTTAATGAGCGTTTTTATAAGGTACGATTAGCTTTTTTCCATAGTAAGATAATCATGGGAGTGAGGTAGTTCGCGAGTATCCACGATCCATACAATTTTTCAAATCCAAGTCAATTTTTCAGGGCACACGACGAATGAGAACGGCCCAAATTTGAGGTTAGTTTACTAATAAATCACATCAAGTGCAGGAACTCAGCGATTAGTAAATTTACTCTCTGGAAAACTGATCGCGTGGTTTGTGGACATCTCTTAAGGACTAGGTTGACCTCGAGGTTGACAGTATCCACAAATGGCAGCTATCATGGCTGATTTTACAAGTTTTTCAAAGCAAAATAAGCCATGGCAACGGCCATAGGTGGATTTTTTTAACCTTGTCCTTAAGTGGCTAAATGTATTCGTCGTTCAAAACATCAAACAAAGTTGCCGTTCAACTTTTTGCAATTATGTTTTTATAATTCTAAATAGTTGATTTAATTTTCATCACCTCACGTTATGTGGTTACGTGTCTCATTTAATGATCAATTTCAAAAAATTTAAATATATTTTCCATTTTCTATACAGCTTCTTCATTGGATATACAAAGCAAACTAATAAAAACTTCACAAATATGATGAACGTTTGCAACGTGACGTTTGCTTTCAGTGCTTCTGTTGGCAACACTTTAGTTGCTCTCATTTTTTCTCTGCATGCACAATTATTTTTCTTTTAATGATAATTAATTATTGTTTGTTTTGCGGTTGCATACACCTCTTCTAAATATATATTTGATATATTCAATAGGATTGAAAT